GGCAATGAAAACTGTGGACAGCATCTGGCATAAGCACCATCAGCCTCAGTGCCAATACCTGGTTCCTCTGGAAACAAGCAACAATGAGGTCCCTTGATGTCACTGCACATAGGAAACAAGATAAAACAGCTCCAGGCCCTTGGGAGGAAGGGTCCAAACCAAGAAATCGACCATGAACAGCTCACTCCTGTAGCACCTTAGAGCATGACCTACAGCCAAACTTCCACCTCATTAAAGTTCCACGATATTCAAGTCTCCCTCTGACCAGAGCCAGGTGACACACATCCTGAGAGGAAGAGCTCACACACTCAGATGACAGACACCTTGGAACTCAGGAACCCAAGCACAGGCAGAGCCAGAGTCCCAGATACCAAGGAGTACCAGGAAGGTGCTGGGTGCTAGAAGGCATGGCCAAGGGTCACTCCATGAGACACCGTGTGCATAGCCCTGGGCCCTCTCCCACCTAGCCCACTAGGGCTCCCAGCAAGCACTGGGGACAGGCAACATTGAGAAACTAGACAAAAGAAAGCCACAGACCCAGGCAAAAGATCTGCCAAGGTCAAATGCCCTACTCATTGTCACCTTCATGCAGGTTAACTGGGAACTCAGAGGACTCACCTATGACGTCCAGATGGAAGGAGACTCTCTGGCCCCCGGCCTCACAGCTATACTCCCCAGTGTCCGACTTGCCCACCTGCTGCACCACCAGCTGCCGCCTGCAGCCAGAGGCCTCCACGCGCACCTGGGAGCTCTGGCTCAGCTTCTTCCCATTCTTGTACCATGTCACCTCTGTCTGGGCCTGGGCCACCTCACAGCTCAGAATGGCACTCGCCCCCGCCTGGGCCTTCACCTCACTGTGTGCCAGCTGCCCCTTGGCAAACACAGTCTTGGGTTCTGGGGATAGAGGGGAAGGACACACAGGTCAGGGACTCCAGAACAGACCCAGCCCTGTCTCACAGCCTAAGCCCACCCCAGGGATGGCTGAGCAGAGTGTCCATCATGAGCAGAACATTGCATGGCCATGCCTAAGTTCTATCCTACACATGACCCAAGCTGCAAACTCCACAGCTGGTGGGTGGACAGCTGGGCAGTCTGTCCTCATCAGAGCCCTAAGCATTTCCTGATCTACCCTGATCTTGCAGGTAACTGCACTGTCACAGCCCACAAGGCTATCACAGCCAGGCCTACCTCCTGATGCCACCACCCTCCCAGCCATTGCGAAGAGACCATGACCCTTCTCCTCCCTGGGACCCCAGCCCATCAGTGACTTCCCAGCTCTCCCACCATGCAGGGAGCACAAAAGCTGGTAGAGGCGGACACAGCAGGGAAGTCCACCTGAGCACCAAACCAAAAACCCACATCTTTGTTGGCCACAGCTACCAAAGGAATGCAGGAGACCAGATTGCCAGTTCTGGCCAATCAGCAGAGACCTCAGAGCCTATGCAAGCCAATCAGCATAGAGCTCAGTACCCCTATGGGCCAATCAGCAGAGAACTCAGTGCCAATGTGGACCAATCAAGATCAACCCCAGCACCAGGCAGGGGGGAGAGCCCAGCACCAAGTAATCCATCAAGAGAGAGGCTGTAAGCCCCATGTGGTCCCTTCCCAGGCTCAAGGACAGGTCACAGTGGGGAGAAGGAGGAGATGGGGGAAGGACAGATGGACATGCAGGATTCCAAAGGGCCCCAGCAAGGGCTTCTGGAGCTCTGGGCCCAGCAAGTAGGCATGGGCAGGTAGAGGGAGCCCCTGCCCCTGCCCCTGCAGGACATGCTCCCCAGCCACAAACAACCCCAGTGCCCAACTCCACCCAGAGCTGGCCACAGATGCTGAGGTCCAAGGTCAGGAAGGACACAGGCCTCACAGAGCCTAGGCTGCCACAGGTGCCCTAGAGTTACCACCCTCCCTCCATTCACTCAACCCCAGCATCACCCACCTGTGACGTCCAGGCAGAAAGAGATCCTCTGGCCTCCAGCCTCGCAGCTGTACTCCCCAGCATCCGCCTTGCCTGCCTGCTGCACCACCAGCTGCCGCCTGCAGCCAGAGGCCTCCACGCGCACCTGGGA